AGCAAAAAGTAGTGACAACTAGATCCTAGAATGTTGGAGGCCCTAGCCTCAGTCTGGTAACAACTGACTAGTGTATAAGTCCTAAGAACAGCAAAAGCAGAACAACTAAATCCTAGAATGTCGGAGGCAGTAGCCTCAGTCTGAGAGCAACAAAGCAATCAACAAGACAACCATATGTCACATGAGAAGTGTGTCGCACACCAAAGGGTGGGATGRTMTCTGAGGGTGGCGAATGCAGCCTAGGGGTCGAAAACTCCTAAGGGCATCCACACATAGTGACAGGGGAAAACACATGTCATCAGGCTCAACGAGGGTAGGGAACTGGGAGCGAACAGAACCAATGACCCTAACAGATAGACCATCAGGGCGGGTAATGCTCGACTAACGGGTGACCGCTATGGAGGGTCGACCATGCAAGGGAACAAGGGAGCCTGGTATACTGGGCGCACCTAGATGAAGCATGCGGGGCTGCCTAACTAGGGCGTGAGGGCCGGCGAAGGGTAGAAAGATGATGGATAAGAGAATCATGCAAATGACTCCTAAAGTGAGGGAAGTCGGAGCTAGATCTGTAAGATGGGAAGCCAGGGCAACGCTACGGTCCCGATGCCTATGCGTATACCAAGGGAGAGCCCAACTCAGAGGAACMCGGYTAAAGGGAGACCATCATGYGACRCAAGCAGGGTACTGTACAGGGTAGAGTGGTAAGAGAGTGGCGACGTCTGAAGTAGGCAGAGCGGATCGTGATGAAGTCCATGAAGCCGCCGATGACGTCCACGATGAGAAGTTCGGAATGCCGTCGAGGAAGAGCCGCAGCGTCGACGAACTGAAGTAGCAAAACTGATGTGGATGGAGTACTGAGAAGTCAAAGACGTGGGAAGGTAAGTCAGAGTCAATCGTCRTATYGAGCAGGACGACGACGAGTGCGCTGTGGACGCTCAGAAGCATYYGGCTGCTGCTGAAGGTCTGCCTCAGATGGAGCAGGCTCAACTTCAGCGGTCTCCTCAGCCGGAGGAGAAGGAGGAGGGTCAGTGGGTTGAGGAGCAGTGAACCCAGCACGACGAGCACGGTCATAGGCACGCACCAACATGCGAGCGTGCTGCAAGTGCTCGAGGGGCTCCCAGGTAGCCTCCTCATCAGGGTAACCCTTCCAACGTACGAGATACTCGACGTGGGGAGGGTTGTCGTCGGTGACTCGGCGACCAATGATGTTTGAAACGAGGAACTCCTCGTGGCCGTCCACCATGATGGGTGGAGGGCGCTCATGGTCGTCTAGCGAAACGCTCAGACGGTCTGCGGTAAGGACGCAGTAACGAGACGTGGTAGACATCATGCGCACGAGCCTGGCATAGGTAGTCGGGCATAAGTGGCGGGCGTCGATAAGCACATCATCACCGACCTTGAATGGGTGATCCATCCTCGATCGGTTCGCACGTGCTGCCATGCGAGTTTGGGAGGCGGCTATGTGCTCATGTGCGATCTTCATAATCGATGTCATGTGTGCAACCCAATCATCCAGCGCGGGACAACTCGTGTCGGAGTGCATCTGGGACGGTCGAAGGAAGTCCGCGGGAACACGCGGGTGATAGGTCGCAATAGTAAGGCGACATCCCCGTGGCTGGCGAGATGGCGTGGTTGTAGGCTATCTCCGCGTGGGCAAGATGGAGATCCCACTGCTGGTCGTCACGAACAATCTTTCGGAGAATATCCTCGAGAGTCCCGTTCGTGATCTCGGTCTGACCATTAGTCTGAGGATGGTAAGACGAGGAGAAGCGGAGCCGAGTGCCGTACACCTCGTGGAGCCATCACCAGAATTGGCTGGTAAAGCGCGGGTCACGGTCAGATATGATGCTCAGAGGTAAGCCGTGGTCACACACGACTCGGTCAAATACGATGTCGGCGACCTCACGTGCACTGATGGCATAGCGGCACGGAACAAAGCGTGCACGCTTCGTGAAGCGGTCCACGACGACCAGGATAGCATCATGACCGCGAGGGGTCGGAGGACAAAGAGGACCGATAAAGTCCATTGAGCAAACCATAAGGTAGGTGGTTCGCACTGTTCACCTCCTGACAGGTGGGACACTCTTCGACGTAGGCCTTCACAAAGTCCTTGCGCTTCGGCCAGACGTACAGGCGGCTCACACGAGCCAACGTCTTGTGGAAGCCCATATGATCGGCAACTGCCTGGTCATGGAACTCTGCAAATGCTCGGACACGTAGCTGTCCAGTGGAGGGCACGCAAATACGGGGCTCTCTGGTGCCTTGTGAACCGTGCCAGTACACAAGACCATTGTCCCGAGAGAGTAGTTCAGGACGGTCTTGCCACTCCGAAGGGTCGCGTGGATGTCGCGATAGTCGGGGCAGTGGCGGTACTGAGTGCGAAACTCGTCGATCACCGAGTGGTGGACGGTGCTGACCGAGATGGAAGAGAACTGGATGTGCTCCTGGTCGTGGTCAGGGCGTCGGGATAGGGCATCTGCGACCCGATTGGTCTCACCCTTAATGTGCTCAGTGGTGAAACTAAACTCGGATAGGTCGCGCCACCAGCGAGCCTGTCGAGGAGTGAGCTTCGGCTTTGTCAGAAAAGCCTGGACAACAGAGTTGTACGTGCGCTTCGTGAATGGTGCCCCGTGCACGTAGTGACGCCAATGTCGACATAAACTACTGCGAGAACCTCATGTTCATCAGCAGTGTAGTTTATCTCGGCGGGCAGGAGCTGACGGGAGTAGAAGGCTATCGGACAATCACCTTAGCGAGACTCGACAGTGCCGTCCTCGGCGATGGTAGGAGAATAGTCAATAGAAGGCTCGTCAGTAGCTGGACGAGTAGGCCTCAGTCGAGAAGCAGTGGTAGGGGTAGGTGGTGGGAAGCGAGGGATACGAGGATGAGAGGAATCAGGAGATGAAGGGAAGACCTGAAAAAGCTCTGCTCCTACAGCGAAGTCTGACGCGTCGGTGGTAAGGATAAAAGGGTGGTCAAAATCGGGTAGGTGAAGAACCGGTGCGCATGTCACTGCCTTCTTGAGGGCGCGAAAGGCGTCCTCGTAGAGGGGTGTCAAAGCCCAGGGTGGGTTCTTCCGGAGGAGGGTGGAGGTAAGGACATAGGAATACCTAGCGTATCCCCGGATGAAGTTACTATAGTAGCTGGTCAGGCCTAGGAAGCTGCGAAGCTGCTTGGCGGATGTGGGAGCGGGCCCTCCGCAATAGCAGTGATCTTCGCGTCGTCCAATGGAGCCCGATGCCGTGGTTATCGCCGTGTCGACGGCGTGTGACGCACTGTCGGCCATGGGGAGATGACGGACCGGACTGGAGGGGGTCAGAAGAGGTCCGCGTGAGCGGAGGGCGTAGGGGGAAGTCCGCAGTAGAAAGCAGCGAACGGCGCTAGCAAGGCTAGCACGGGCGCCGTCAAAGGGGGAGGGGTGGTTCGGGTCCAGGGTGCCCGAAGAGGACTGGGAAGTTGGGGGGTTTTGAGGAACCCTAAACCCTACAAAAACCCTAAGAAAACCCTAACCGAGGTTCAAGGCTGGGGTAGGGTACCGGTGACCTAATCAAGAAAGTAAAATAGCAACCATAGGGGGGGGGGGGAGACGAGAGAAAAATGAATAAACAATGATATTTCAAGAGGAAATAAAAATAAGTAAGAAAATAAATAAATAATGAATAATAAAATAATTTAAAAAATAAGTAAAAAGATGTGAAGAGAAACAATATTTATTTATTTTTTTGAAATTTTCGGCAGCATTTCCCTACCCCCCACGGGGTTAAGAATGTGCCAAGGGAAAAGGAGAGACCGAGGTGTGCACACTAGAGATGCTGCAAATAAATAAATAAAAAGAAATTTCAGAAAATAAATAAAAAATAATAAATAAATAAATAAGTAAATAAGTGTGTGAGGAGGTGGGGAGAAACGGGTTATCTGATTTTTCAAAAATTTTGGCAGTATTTCGTTATCCCCATGGGGTCGAAGTGTGCCGAAAAGACTAAGCAAGAGAAAATCAGAAAATTTCGGCAGCACTTCGGTACCCCCACGGGGTCAAAACGTGTCGAAAGCAAGAAAGGCTAACACCTAATCAGATTTAGGGTTGCCGTAGAGAAAATCGAATTTTCCAGAATAAATAGAAAAATGAAATAAATCAGAAAATGAGAAAAGAAGGTGGGAAAGAAGATACTTCGAATTTTTGAGAAAAAAAGAAAAGATAAATCAAAAGAGAGGTGGAAAGAAGAAAAACAGAGAAATTTTCGAAGTAGGGGGGGAAGGGGAGTGAAAAGTGAGGGAGAAAAGAAAGAAATAGGTGGGGGGAAAGAAAAAGATGAAGTGGGAGGTAGGGGGATGGGGTGGTGGTAGTTGGGGGAGAGGAGGGATGGGGAAAGGTGGACAGGGATCAAGAAGCAAAGAGAAAAGGAGGAAGAAAAGAAAGAAATAAAAGAAGGAGAGTRAAAGAATRGGTGTTGGGAGAAAGGTGGGGTGGGGAAGATAAAAGGAGGAGAGAAAGATGCAGTGGAAGGTGGGGGAAAGAGAGGGGGTGAGTAAGAGGAGAGAGGAGAGGTAGGGAGAATGGGTTAKWWGAKGGAGAGGGGAGAAGGGASTGATACCTGGCCCTTGGTGTCTCCAAGGGCACAAGGTACACCAAGACCAGGAGGGTCTTGGTCTTTGCTGCAGCGGCCAGTTGGAGGAGAGAGGGGGCTGAGATCATGATCAGCCCCCAGCAACACTTCTGCAGATGTGTAGATGTAGGGTCTGCTGTGTGAGCAGGCCCTCTGCACTGTAGAGCAGCCCCTAAGCAGGGGGGTCTTCAGCCACGTGCTCGCTGGTGCGCAGTGCTCGATGCCGCTAGGGGGGGGGGGGCAAATAGCGACTTCGCTGCTGCGCACTGATAGCCAGCACGGCACCTCTTCAACACGAGTGTGCCGTGCTGCAGAGCCATGGACACACTGTGGTGAGTGTGTTATGAGGCTGCTTACGCACGCGCATGGCCCAGCAAGTGCCTGAGTTCAAACCCCAACAGCAGCAGTTGCATCCCAGATCTTGATAATATAAATCCGGGAGCGGGGCGGGGCAGCGGGGCTGTGTGGCGCGCGCGCGCGTGCGGCGGCCTTGGCCTTGGCGTTTGCGCGCACGCGTCGTGATGCGGTCCTTTTTTGCCACGTGGAGCTCTCCTGCTGCAGCACCTTTTCCTGTCGTTTTTCCTGCTTTTTTGCCCGAAAACGCCCCAAAAACAGCCGAAGACCCGACTGTCGGGTTTTGCCGTATTTCGCTGCTGTGCGGTGTGGTGGGTGGGGGCGGGGACCGTTCCCGCTCCGATACCAATGTAGCGGACCCACCAGGTGTGGTGCTTCGCTAGTGACAGAGATGGATATGGAGGAAGAAGGGGGAGCATGATGGCACAACGCAGGTCCCCACGCAAGACTCCAACGCACGTATTCCAAAATATGCAAGTGAGGAATGAGAATGAAAACAGACAATGGCTGGGGTATACCCCAGCGGACTGACGGGACTGGACTGGACTGGACTGGCTGGTACCGACAGAGGTACCGGCCTGGACTGGCCTACCCCAAGGGGCTGGTCTCACAGGCCATCCCGAGGTCCGCTACACTGACTGACGGCGAGTTAACTCCACTTTGTTATTGATGTTTGTTGCTTTCGTCTATGTTTGCTTCAAACTTCGAGGATGTGTGTGTGTGTGTGTGTGTGTGTGTGTGTGAAAGAGAGAGAGAGAGAACTCTACACTTGACTTTGCTACTCTCCCGTACGATGTTATGACGACCCCCACACTCCCCTACTATGACGAGCCGCTCCCTCCAATCAAACAAACTACCCGCGAAGAGATCAGGTCTGAAAACTTCTACTGCTAACACTACGCAAGAGAGAGAGAGAGAGAGAGAGAGAGAGAGAGAGAGAGAGAGATTGAACACACTACACTTTTAACTCGCGCACATATACAGACACACCCAGACTGATCACACACTATGCTTTTTACGTGCTGGAAGTTGGGCTCCACGTCCTGAAGGTTGGACGCTGATTGACGGTGAGTTAACTCCACTTTGTTATTGATGTCTGTTGCTTTCGTCTATTTGTTTGCTTCAAACTTCGAGGATGTGTGTGTGTGTTTGTCTGTGTGTGTGTGTGTGTGAGAGAGAGAGAACTTTACAACGCTCGACTTTGCTACTCTCCCGTACGATGTTATGACGACCCGCACACTCCCCTGCTATGACGAGCCGCTCCCTCCAATCAAATAAACTACCCTCGGAGAGATCAGGTCTGAAAACTTCTACTGCTAACACTACGCAAGAGAGAGAGAGAGAGAGAGAGAGAGAGAGAGAGAGAGAGAGAGAGAGAGGCATCTGCACGATCGATCGTTGTGGCATTCGGGAGAAGCGCCATATCTAGTCTCTCTCTCTCGTAATTCGATCAAGGTGGCATGTCTTGCTACCGTGATTGATCGATCGCTAGAGGTGTGAAAGATGTGCACACGCGCGCGCGCGCGGGGGAGAGAGAGAGAGAGAGAGAGAGAGAGAGAGAGAGAGAGAGAGAGAGAGAGAGCCCACAATCAAGTGTAGTATCTGCTCCGATCACTTTCATATCAGATCCGTGGTCCACAGAGACTTAAAATAAAACTAAAAAAGCAAATGCACGTTGTCGGTGCGAGTACCCTTACAAGGGTTTCCGCCCTGGTTTTTGCAAGCAACAGAAATAAGTTTGGTTTAAAGATTAAGTTTTCCGCGCGAGGCGCGACGGTGTTTGTGGTTTACGTTCATTGAATGGTTGATTAGAGAGAGAGTCTGTGAACGCGCGGGCTTAAGGCGCGCGTGATTTTAATTGTTGATGATTGAAGAGTCGGCGTTGGTCGCCGGCCAGATTTTTTTATTTTTCGATTAAAAATAGGATTGAACAGATTTTGTCTCAAGATTGGTATGCTTGTCTGTGACTTGGGCATACGTATGGAGGACGACA